CAATTGTAAATAATACTCTACAAGATGAACCGAGAAACCACATCAAATAGATTGATTAAGATGAATATATTTAACTTTTTCTCTCCAGTGACAAGTTTTGAAATCGGGAAATATTTATCAAAGTGATCAGAAATTGCCAACAGCTACCTGATCACACAAAGATGATGATAAAAATTAATTGATTTTAGATTCATCCACAATGTTCTCTGTGCTTACAGTTGAAAATGTCAGCACATCTGCACTAAAGGTCGGGTGTGTAATCTGTCAAAATCAATCAATTAATCAATCAAGTGTGTTTGTGCAGCACATTTCAGCAACAAGGCAGCAGGAAGTGCTTTACATCATAAACACACAACAATAAGAAGGCATGGAAACAACATATAGTGACATTTTGACATTGATGAATCATATTTTTCCGTTGCTGTTTAAAAAAAATAATAAAAATCTGTCAAAGATGGAAAATATTTGGTGAACGCCACCCCGGTTCCACATTTAAATATAAACATAAAAAGAGGAAATAAAAATACATGTTTTGTAAATATGTTGATATAGAATGGTTTACAAGAGAGAAAGACAAGGTTGGATTAGTGCAATATGCACACTGACTGTTAAGTGTTTGCATTTTTACAAAATGAAGTCGTGTCCAGGATATGTGGGGTCTGCAGAGATGTTAGCTTCTCTTTTTCTAACTCTAGACTTGTAAAAGTCCTGGATGGAGGAAAAATCAGTCCTGATGATTCTCTCTGCAGACCTGATTGCTATTTGTAGAGAAAAGCAGAAGCTTATTCAAAATGGAAAAAAAAAAAACTTCTACACAAAAAATAAAATAAAAAATTAACTAAAATTGTTAAACTAGACTAGATGTGAATGTATTTGGAGCTAAACCTACCCAGTGTAGAACTGGGATCATTACCCTGCCGAAAGCTGAATCTCTGCATCAATTTTACATAAAATAGCAAAGACAAAACGCAGCAATAAAAATGGAGGTCCGTCCGTCTGTCCGTCCGTCCATTTGTCCGTCCATCCGTCCGTCCGTCCGTGTATTTTCTGAACCCCCTTGTCCCTTACTGGGGTCAGGAGGTGCTGGTGCCTCTTCAGCTAACGTTCTGGGCGAGAGGCGGGGTCACCCTGGACAGGTCGCCAGTCTGTTGCAGGGCTGGTGGAGATCCTCTAACCTCAATGACCTCAATGTCTCACAGTATCAAATTCTATATATTTAAGCATCTTGTTTTGTGTGCAGCAGGTTCTGCAGAGCCTTCAGGAGGAACAGAGTATGCTACCGTCATAAAGGTGAGTTTGAAACAGTGTAAATAATCTGTTTGGGCTTTTTTCACTATTTGTGAAATCATCTGAAACAATATAAATTTTTCCTGCAGCCCAACAGAGTAAAGAGGGAACCTGAAACCCAAAACACAGTAAGTAAACTCTGAAATTCAAGTATTTCATTCAGTTACATTGTGAAAGTAATTTTTTCCATTAAAATATTATTATAAATTTAAATATTTAAAGTGAAACATGACATTTGTTTCTTCTTAAGACATTCCTTTTATGTGAAGCTAGTATGAAAAATAAACTTTTATCCATCATTAAATTCATCATTCATGTGCACCACTTTGTCAGTTTTAGGATTTTATCTCTGAATTCAGGCTAATTTTATGACAGTTGGTAATCCTTGTAGTTGTGGTTTTAGAACAGCAGGGGGCGTCCTTCAATGCTTTTCGTCAGATGAACGTAATTTATGATTTTATGATTAAATATTTTAAAAATCTCATATTTTTCTGAAAATATGAGGACAGTTTGTGAACAGAAGTTGCATCTTCGTCTTCCACAGTTTACTTTAAAGGATTTAAAGCAATAAAAACTGACTAATTGAGCTGTTCTAAACAATTTTATGATTTTTTAGTTTTCAAAGTTTACATTTCAAAATCATTGAGTCAAGTTTTAGTTGGTTTATTTAAATTATAACCAGGTTTAGAAGGAAAAAATAACAGGCTTATCAAGTATTGAAATATTTGCTTTGTATTTAGAGAATGATAAATAATCTCATAAAACAATATAATTATAAATAAACTAATAAAAATCTTTAAGATGTCATTTCTGTTCCTTTCATCTTCCAGGCTGAAAGTGACAACCTCGAGGTGCATTTTTCCAAACAAACCACCAACCTGCACAGCAGCGCCCCCTGTGGTAACCATGGAGACGTCGTCATCTACACTGAACCTCGGATAGATGGAAAATATGGCGGCCGCAGTAAAGAGGATTCAGCTGCTCTTTATTCCACTATTACTTTACATAAACAGTGACAGTATTTAAAAATAAGTATACCATTGTATTGGTTCAAACAATATAAAACTTAATTCTGTTTATAAATCGGTTTTATTTGATATTTTTTGACCAATAACATGCAGCCACACTAAAACAAACACCCCCCCCCCCAAAAAATGAAATGAACAACAAAAGATTTAGTTTTATGTAAGTGAAAACATAAAATAAATGTAGTTGTTTATTTTAAAGTTGGTCTTAAATTAACATATTATGCATAATTTACTCAAAGTTTGTAAAAGGATTTTATTCAGATTTAACAAGAAGTTGCTGCTCAAAGCATTAAATCACTGTTCATCCTCATTTAACCTCCAGTTACTTCCTCCAGTTACTTATGAAAATACATCCTGTTATTTAGCTAAGCTTCAGTATTAGTTGATGCATAATTTTTCCTGTTCAGGTCTTTGAGATCTTGTTTTTAAATATTTAATTATAATTTTATTAGTTTCTATGCAAATTTTACTTTCATATGGATTTATACATCAAGTATCTATAAGTATTATAAAGCAACGGCAGATGAATTATTAATGTTTGCATGGTCACATGTGTGCTAAAACATAATGTGATTAAATGTTCCAATTGATTTTTATTTATGACCAAAAGTTCTGCAAAAAAGTTGATTTTTCATATTAAATTGTTGCTTTATGCCCTATTTTTTGCGACATTTTATTAGATTAAATCATCACTGTCCTACAAATGCAAACATTTAATAGCACCTAATTTTCTTTAAAACATCATGAGTAAATTAAGATTAAGATTATATTTATGTGTTTGCATCTTTTCACAAAATATGTCATTAAAAGGCAAAAATATAAAATTCAATTTCATCAGATGTACAGCTTTCTAAAAAATCTGGTAACATTGCTTAATTTGATTTTTTATTTCCTTCCTCTTTATGAGCTTTCCTGCCAGAAAGATGAACTAAATTGTCCTTTATTTGAAAATTTAAAATAATTTTTTATATATATATTGGCAGGGGGAGAGGTGTTGTAAACTTTGCAAACTTCTTTAATTGTTATCCATGCACTAAATGCACTAATCTGCTATTAGTGCATTTATAATAAAAAAAATTAATTCAAAAATACTTTATTCATCCCAAAGTGAAATTAAATGTTGCTGTAACTCATATTAATATTAATAAAGGTTCTTCTGGGCAGCTAACTAACTTCCTGTTTAGTTTTGGGTCTTATTGTTTTGTTTTTCTAGTTTCCTGCTTGAAACAGTTTGAATCCAATTTTAAAGGCTAAAATTCAGGTTTCATATGAGTTTTGTCTTATTTATGGTTGTGTTGAATTGATTCTCTGTAGAATATTATTTAACTCTCACAACTGATTTCCAAACATCTGCATAGAAAACAAAATTTTGCGTGCAGATTGGAGTAAAAGCTGGAGAAGAGTGACCTCTAGTGGTCAGAGGAGGAACTGCGCCCTTTTCCTGGATTATCAGTGAATGAGGAAGAGTCAGCAGATCGAGCCCAAAGGTCAGCTAAATGGGACTAAAACTAGTAAGAAGTGAAAAGACCATGCAATAATTTGAAAACAAAGAGTAAAAATATACATTTTTAATAGACATGGAGCCATTGAAGCCATCACTGGGTAATATGCTCATTTTGCTAAAGACGATAAATAGAAGACATGCTCAGGAAAATACAAGGAGTTGCAATAATTCAAGCTACAGGTAGCAAACAGATGAATGATTTGCTCAGAAACATTAGCTGGAAGGTGTGGCTTAGCATTAGCTGATTGTGTCAAAAAAACAGACAAACAAACAAACAAACAAACAAACAAAAAAACAAACACCCAGATTGAACCACTTCATTCACCTATTCATACAGTTTAGCAGACTGTAAAATCTGACAAAACCCCCCCTGTTAATTCATGCAGGAATAAATGATACAAAACGAGTTAACAAACTATTTTTCATAAGAAAAAAAAGAGCAATATATACCAAACACACATTACAGCTTGCTTAACAACAATCCAAAAAATATTCCTGATGAATAAAAATTTAATTTCTTTAATTTATGAAACCTTTAAAATTATTTAGTCTGTGTTTTATATTTATTTTTCATCTGTCTATGAAGATTTCTATGTGGGATAGATTTGTAAATAATATAAAGCAACACAAGTTTGATTATTAAAATGTACCATTTGAATTATTAATTTTTGCATGATCACTTATGTGTACTGCAAAATGGTCTCCTTTATTTTACATTAAAAAAATGGTTAAGTTGATTAAATTTGTATCAGCTTCCCAATTAAGGAAGCAAATTTGGTTAATTTAATCCAAAAATCATTCATTCACATTTTTCTTTGCAACTTGTTTTCTCTGTCATAAAGAAGTAGTTCTTCATTAAGTTTAATCCATCCATCCATCCATCCATCCATCCATCCATCCATCCATCCATCCATCCATCCATCCATCCATCCATCCATCCATCCCTTAGTGGGGTCGGTGGGGTTGCTGGTGTCCATCTCCAGCTAACGTTCCAGGCGAGAGGCGGGGTTCACCCTGGACATGTCGCCAGTCTGTCGCAGGGCAATTAAGTTTAATCAAAGCTCAAAATGCCATGAATATTCAGGATGTATGTCATCAAAGGCAAAAAGGAATAATTTAGGGTTTTGGAGTACGGTTGAAAGAATTTTATGAAATGTATTCAGGAGGATTAGGAGAAATGTAAAAAAAAAAAAAATCTTTTTTTCTTCTGTAGAAACAAAAACATGGCGTCTCCTTAATGTATTTGGTTTGCAGAGAAAATATAATGTTTGAGTTTTACTCAGTAAAACACTGACCTCTGGTGTTCAGAGGAGGAACTGCATCCTGCAGAGATGTTCCTGGTTTATCAGTGAAGCAGGAAGAGAAGCAGAGTTAGAAACCATCAGCAGCTCAGGATGAAGGTCTGTCTCACTCTGATCTGCCTCCTCTTCCTCAGTGAGTCCATTGTTGCTGTTTTTAAAAAGACTTTGTAGCACTCGTAGTCTTTTTAAATATTAAATTGACAGGAAATAGGATGAAGAAATAGGGGTAAGACATTTAGCAAATGACAACAAACCAGGAATTGAACCAAGGCCAGCCAAGTCCAGGACTATGCAGAGTCTATTATTTCTATCAAGTTCTCTACTTCCAGTCCTTCATCCTGCCCTTCTCACTATATAAAGATTTGTTCTACTTTGTTGAAATATTTGGAGCCAACTGTTTCAGTTTTATCTATTGCATCCCTTTTAATTTCTTTGGTAAACCAATTTTAAATAGAACTCTGACTTGTCCTCCATTTCTATGTGTTACTTTTTGTTCATTTTGTGGTGAAATTTGCTGATGTTGTAAACTTCTGGATGTTAAATCTGTTTGTTTTCACACAATAACTGAAAACTTTATAGGAGGCAGTTGTATGTAGAAGTAAAATAAAATAAAACTCACGTTTTTAACTTTCACATGCTCAGTCGGTTGCTTTCCAGAAATGTAGGTTTTCTAAAACTAAAAATTAAATAAACAGAGGAAACAGCTGTGAAACTGAAGAGGAACATCAAGTTCCTCTCAAACACTCAAATAATGTTTGAAGAGACAAAACCTAGAAAGATGCGTCAGTGCTTTTCTTCAAAACTTTACTTTGCAAACTTCCTCAATTGATATTTTCAGCTGTTATGAGGAAACGATAGTGTTGTTGATTCTGTTTAACAGTGAAATTAGCTGAATTAATTTGAGACACTTCCTTAAGTTGACATGTATTCTAATACATCCAGTTAAATTCATAAATATGTTTCCTGTGATTCCCTTTTACAATGACAGTAACTACAGTTTATTTCCTCAGCAGCTCTGCAGGATGGAGAAACTATGGAAACCTTCAACAGAAATGAAGGAGAAAACATCACAGTTAGATGTGAATTTGATTACACAGGAACCAAAAGGTTCTTCTGTAAGGGAACCTGTGAAGGAAGAAACATTCTCGTTGAAACAACTGAAGATACAGATCAGAGAGGCAGATTCAGTATCACATATGAAGAACGAGATATTTTTTCTACTGATTTTCTGCATGTGAGCATCACTGATCTGAAACCGTCAGACTCAGGATGGTACCGGTGTCGCTCAGATGAAACCTGGACTGGAACTCTATATTATGATTTTTATCTTGTTGTGACAGAAGGTGAGTTTTCTGGTTTAAACATGTATTTCAGATTTTAAACAATTCAGCTTTAAAATGCTAATATGTTCAAACTGTAAGTCATAAAGAAACAAATAAAAAATAGATTTATCCTTGATTCTGTTTCATTCTGACATCTGGAGAACCAAAATGGAATCTGCAGTGTAAAAACATAAAATCTTTCCGAGTATTTTTGTCTAGTGCAAAACTTGAAATAAGACAAAACTAATTTTAAAGTAACTTTTCAGCAGGATGTGTTGCTTTAAATCAATAATTCGTGTACTCGTTCTACTTTTCATTGGGAAACATTTTTCCATGTTTCCCAATGGATCTAGTAATTTTCCACCGATAAGGAATTATTGACCTAAAACAACCATTTCTATTTCTGAAATGTTATTTGTAGTCTTGTCTTACTTTAAGTGTACTAAGATATTTGCACTAGAAACTAGACAAAAATAATTCGTACAATTTTGTGTTTTTACAGTGTGAGACCTTTAATAAGATCAACTTTTCCCCCATCAGCTTCTACCACAAGCGCAGCAATTACATCAAGAAGAAGAACAACAGCAACAGCAACAACAGCAGCAACTCAGAGTAAGAGTTTCTCTCCTTCTCCATCTGAAACCATCAAACTATCTGAGAAACCAGCTGCAGCTTCAGGTTCATCATCTGCTCATGTTTATTGAGATCATTTGGGCCTGTTAAAGTCCATCAGTGACATTCAGAGCATTTAAAGGAAAAACCTATTAGTAATAAATTTTGAAAGTCTCAAAATTGAAAAACAAAATACAAAAACAAATGCAGGTAAACTAATTTCTGATTCATTTAAAAGGTTTTGTCAGGGGTTCTTGGATTTGTGGTTTACTGACTCACTGGATTAAAACCCACAAACCAGCAAAAGATCAAGACCTTAAAGCTGCAGTATGTAAATACTAAAAAAATTTGTTTTTTCCATACTTTTTAAAACTGTCAGTGTGTTGCGACAGTGTAATATAAGACAAATAATTTATGGAAACATAGATCTCTTCCACCTCCTCCCTGAGCTACTATTGCTGTCTGAAGAAATGCAACCAATCAGAGCCAGGAGGCGGGTCTTAGCGCTGACAATCAATGCTAATGGCAGATAGCCAATTTACTGATACATGAAAGTCATCTTTCTATCGTCATCATTGGTGGCTATGCTAACTAGCTTTAGCATTTTTGGAAAAAAAAAAATCTGATTTAGTTGGAGCAGAGCGTCTTGTTTGCATAACATCCAGGACAGGGTTGTGATAGTTTTGGGTTTTTTATTATACTTTAGTTTTATTTTTGTGACTTTTTTTCTAAGTCAGTTAGTTTTAAGTAGTTTTTAGAGTGTGTTTGCTAGTTTTTATTTGATTAAATATTGCTTAGTTCTACAGTTTAGTTTTTTTAGTTATAGTAATAGTTTTAAGTTTTTGAATTCTGGACCTAAAAATTAACTAAAGTATTGTATTGTGATTATTTATACATCAATTGGGTAATGAATACTCAACAGAAGATACCATTTTATAATGTATTACTTTATTGTTGAATACATTTCTCCCAAGTTTTGTGACTCATGTATGCGCCAACAGGATGAGTATGGAGTGACATAACTTACTGACAGCTGTCGTAAACCTCCAGTGAGACAAAGAAAATCTCTTTCACGTCAGTAGGTTCATAAACATGTAAACAAAGGATATTATATCTATAATTTCAGTATTTTGTAGTTATATAAATACATGGTTTAGTTCCAGTTAGTTATGGTGTTCCCTCATTAGTTACTATTTTTATTTATACCAGTGAAACTTTTTTGGGTTTTTGTTATTTTGTTAGTTTTAGTTTATCTGTAATAATCTCGATCCAGGAGAATTTGATATGAGAGTTCAGATAGCGACGATTGTTTTGGGTCAAACTGATTCACTGCTGCGTCTCAGTGCCCACTCTCAAACAGCCAAGTTTTAAAAAGAATGAAACTTCTTTTGCATTTCCTGAGCAAAACCACAACAACATTCTTGCTTCACCAACCTCATCACTGTTGTAGGTTTCATCTTTGGTTCTTTATGCTGCAAAGTTTAGATATTAAATATGTTATACTAACATAGAGGCAGAGAAATGTGTAGAAATGTGTAGAAATGCTGACATTTAAATGTTACTTGCAAAGATAAATGTCATCATCAGCTGTTGGATCAAATGCACCACATTTACCACTTTGTCCTGATCAAACCAAGCTGTTCTGTTTTTTTAACTCCCCTGCAGGTCTGCAGCTTTATGTGGTTTTGTCTTTGGTTGTCAAAATCATCTTGTTATCAACGTCTTTGGTTATTTTCTGCATGAAGAGGAGGGCCATGAACAGCAAAGGTGAGAAAACACAGAAACACTTGTCCTTCCTTTATGAAAACCTACATCTATATTAAGGTCCTATTAGCCCTGAAGGCTTCTTCCTCATTTTCTTCTTCTTCAGAGTTTTATTAATCCAGAACAAGTGTCTGTCTGAAGCTTCATTGAACATATTGGAAGAATCAGCAGAGCAGTCAGATCCCTAAACAGGAAGGAGTAAAAATAAAGATTCAGCAACAAATTTACAGAAATAGGAAAGTTATTTATAAACATTAAACTGTGTTCCTCTTTCAGCTGCATCATTTCTAGAGAACAAAATGTTTCCAACATGCTCTGATCATCAGTCAGCTGTGGTTTTCTAGGACTTAATCTCTGAT